TGTACGGAGCATGAGCTGGCAAACAGCTGAAACTTATTCCGCACAAACATCGATTTCAAATTTATCTATGCTTAAAATTTCAAGAGAAATAAAAGCGGGGAATAAGTTTCAACACAAAGCACTTATTTTACACCTATTAGAAAATCGAAACTTAGCATGTAGACTATATATAAATGGGATTATTATTATAAATCTGCCGTGATATGAACGCTTTATTCCCTCAAAAATACAGGGATAATTGTTACGAACTAAAAGAACTGAAGTAATATAAAATTTACATTTGAGTCAAATGGTGGGCCCTATCACCATTTGTTCTTGAACCAAAACATGTCTGTGTATCAAATTTCATCGCTTTATATAAAAAATTGCGAATTGTAGATTGAACACAACAATGCGAGGTGGCCAGACGCATGGGCAATCGTAGATTGATTCAGAAAGTTATTCAATTCGTATAATAAAAAATTCGTAAAAAAATCTATCTCTGAGCGTTGCATATATCCGCGCAAACTTAATGTACCCTTATGCCACAAGTAATTTTGGGCAATTGGCATTGATTTACGTTTTCATGAAAGTTTACACCTTAAGACATGGTTCCGATACAACCCGGTAAACATTGCCCTGATTTGTGTAAGCTTAAATTATATTATTCTGTATAATACCTTCGTTTAAACATATAAATAGAATAATAAAGTTTCGTAGAATAATGTCTCTATACAACACGATATGAATTAACTGTTTTTTACGATCGTCTTTATACCAGCTGTGATGGGTTTAAGAAGCGTTTGGAATTTATTTATTAGAAATTAAAATCGTTTAATTTTATTTTAATATTTAATTCATTTTTTACTTAACTAATTTAAATTTAACATTCATTCAAAAATTTTTTTCGCAAATATTCATTTTGAAAAGTGTCAGTTTAACATTTAAATAAGGTTGCTGGTCCTATTCTATACAAAGTAGCAAACACATTGTTTTTTTCTCTTCCGATTAGTGACCGGTCAAGGCCGTAGAATACGACTGTAAACGTTAATTCTATATCTTCAGAGCATTGCCTTTTTTGCTTGAAAGCTCGCAAGGGTTATCAAGATATGTTATATTCTGAAACTTTAGTCTACGAAAAGAAAAGCAGCATCAGTTAAAATGACGAGTAGCGAAAGATACGATTAAGTTAAGTAAAACTTATTTCGTAGTTTCTAGTCCTTTTCATCCATAGCACCGGAAGAAGAAATAAATACGCGTAAAAGATGGAAACAACCTGCCATCCATTTTACCACATTTAAAAAAAACTTACTTAGCTTACAGCTCATAGCAGATGTTGGCCTCAATTGCCGGAACAAACATTAGCGGGAATCATCTAAAGCATAAGTGAAAACGCCTGCTATACCTATCAACTTACAAACAATTTTTATATAGAATCTAGTATCGTTTAGAAGGCGAATTTGATTTACTGCCGCGCATATATTTAACATTATATTGTGGGTTAAGATGAGAGACATTAAAGGTTAGTTTAGAGGCTAATAATTCTTCTTTACCTTGTTTATATCTTTAGGTGATATATTGGTTAGAGATTTTTCTACCATCATCTAAATATAATTAAATGGTTCAACTAAGTGTGTTTACGTTGTGCAAACATTTACGTAAGCAAGAACACAATATGCTCAACGGCCAAATAAAAAATGTAGCATAAAATTTGAAAAAAAATTATTGAAAATATAAATTGCAAGTGTGCGATGATTCATCTAAGGAATATTTGGGTTTAGAAGTTAAATAAAGCAAACTTCTAAAATCTATTAATAATGTACTGCACTATTTTTCATCATCAGGTGTTCATGGCCATCTCTTATTAAATATTAGCCAAGAGAAAAAGATTATTGTTGTAATAATAGAAACAATTCTGATAAATTTTTTCCTGAGCTTTAAGACAAATAGATTAAGATAGCAAAGTCATGGATCACCACTTGGATTCTTTTTTACTTTTTGTTTTCCTTTTTGTTTTTTTCCTACAAGAAACGCGTCTTGATCATCAATCATGTCATTGATTTAGCTAAATTAACAGCAAATCATTTTGAACTATTTCGGAAAAATGAATTTCTTGATGAAATTAAAGTGTTACGAGCATAAGCCAGAGAATCTGGAACCATCTTTGTCTACATTCTATGGGAAATTTGTAGAGGCCTCCTTAAAGCATTTTTATACGAAATGCTATTTGATCGTGTAAATTGTTTTATAAAATCTAAACTAGACTTTTTTAAATAAAAAAAATGGGTTCTGCCAAAATAATAAGCTTTAATTCTTCTTTTAAAAACGTTCTGTTTACTTTAGAATGGATTCATATGTTAAAATGAAAAGTTATAATTGACTCTTCCTTTACACGTGTACCATGTTCAAATTTATTCTACGTCACCCAATGCTAGGTGCTTGCTTTAATTTCGATAGGCGACATTTCCCTTAAAAATTATACGAAAATGACAAATGCAAGTGCACATACCAATTAAATTCGATAGCTTAGACCTTTCTCTACCTGACACAATAGTTCTCAATTTAGTGTTGCAGAGATATTCAGTGCATACAGACGCTAATCTTGGCGCGCTTACAATTGCATTTTCAATGTTCATTATTTTTGTATTTTGATTTGAAGAATTAAGCTGCCGAAGCTCGTCAGATATTTTTAGAACGTTATGGTCATGCTGCTCCATTATACCGCAATTGTCGGTTTTTGTTTCACAGTTTAAAAGCGGTGTTTTTGTTGTCAACGGCGAAAAACAACCTGGAAGACTAAACAAGTTTGAAGACAATAAATTGCAAGACTTAGTCGACATAAACCTAGCTCAAGCCCTCGAAGAACTTTCGAACACATGGATATCGAAGTTGAATGTTCATGCCCATAAAGTTTCGCTGTGCATATGATGGGATCGGCTAGTTGTAATGTAGTACGAGCTACTAAACCCGAATGAAAGTAAGTGCTGCTGCATATATCTAACGGCGTCAACTGAATAAATTGAATGACATATTTTTGCAAAAAAGACCAGCAGTAGCATTTCGCAGACACAGTCATTCTCTTCCATGAAAACGCTCGGCCACACGTTGTAAGAGTTGTCACGGGCACACCGTAGTACCTCGAATGAAAATTTTTGTCGCATCTAGCTTACTCACCAGACATAGCGCTTGCATTAGCTGGCGCGCGGTTTCGATGATTGGATGGTATCGTCATGTAGCTAAAAAGATGGGAGAAAGTTGTAGAAAATGATCGAAAATATTTTGGTTTAAAAAATTGTACAAATTTTTCTCAATAAACGCCTTTTGCAAGTGAAAAAATGATCAATATATATTCAAGCACCTAATATATATATGAACTAAAATTGGAATTATTAGCAAATAAATCTTCACTGTATCAGATATGTCCGTATAAAGCCAAGAAAAGATGCTGTCGCCGAACGCTCCATATTTGACGCGATATTCGATATTTTCGTTATTAGACAAGAGGCTAGAATATTTTTTTTGGTGCCATATATGCTTGTATTTCTATTGATTATTGTTGCCAAATGTCCACGCTATATAAAAAACAGAATTCAAACACACAAGTTCAACAGCAATATATGTAATGTTAGCGTCACATATAGGCAAATTCTGTAAAAAGCATGATATTTGATTACAACCATTTAAATCAGTTCAGTAATCATTATAGTGCGGCTATATTACCGAAGCATACAAAAACTTAAAAATTTCGTTACGATGTAATGCAAATGTTATTTAATGATATGTTTTCTTAAAAATACCAAGAACTCTGCTATAAATGACAAAAAAAAAAGATATTAGATTGCATTCATTCATAAAGAAGTTATTCCCCATAGAAATCGTCGCAAGCACATTCACTTCAAAGATGTTCCGTTTGCTCAAAATATATAATTCATAAGGAGTCATGTTACTAATACTCAACTTATGAAGTATCACTTTGCGTGGTAGCTTGTTTCGAAAAATTCGCCTTTGAAATTGACTGAATTTTTTAAATTTTTTTTACTCTACACCATTTGTGGTACAAGGATATTTTAAGTTTGTACGTTTGTATGCAACACCCAGAAAGTCTTGAGAAAGACCCATCTTTTATTATACTAATCGATTCAGAAAATGATTCTGGATCCATCTAAGGCTGTCGGCTTGTCTCTCCAAATTGCATTTAACGTTTGAGCCACAAGTTTTGGGACATTTTAATTAAATATAGTAACTGACGTGTTTTGACTCAGATACAAAAGTCGTTGAAAATAATTCGGATCGGACAAGATTTTCGTCCGCTTCCCATATAATGCCTTGCAAGGATTTTGAAAAATCCTTATATTAATAACTGCAGGATAGTGTAGGTGTAGGTTTAAGGGTGGGTCGTAGCCGACCACAATGTTCTTACTTGTTTTTTCTTAAATTTTTTCTTTATATACATTTTATATCTTTTTGCCACATTTTAAATGACGTGTTAAGTTGTTTAACCTGGCCGTTTAATAAACCTCGTTACAATATCTTTCGACAGTAGGATAAAATAATGTCTAATCATACATACGTACCTAATTTAACGTGACGCAAAAAACGAAAGTGAAAAACTATCTTTTATGCGCTTTCTCTTAAAGATACACCTTAAGTCACTTTAGTAGTGAGGACAGAAATAATTAAATAGAATATTCACAAAAAGTAATTTATGGTTATATATGCTTATTAATCGCCAACAAAAGTGGTGCTTAGCTAAATTGCACCCGAACCACTTCTATGTATTTTGTAACTTGCCCTGCACTTTGAATCATAAAAAACAACCGGATTGTTTCGTAGTTTTTCCCTATAGTATCCTGAGAAGAACTATTTGCAAAAATAGAATTTATTTCATCATGCACGAAAAAGAAATAAAGAATATGTTATTGAAAACATGTCTCCTTCAATTATAAATTAAGAGAAGTTTCACTTTCATCACGTGTTTTTTCTTTTGCAAAGATATCTTTTCAAGGTTTCTTTTTTCTTACCTTTCGGTTGCGTGCTTAAGCCACTTAAACTGTGACTAGCCGTGAGATCTGTAGCAACGCCTACGCTCGATGAAGCATTTGATGCTACATTGTTGGCAAAACCTAAAGCGACAGCAGCAGCTGCTGCGCTACCACCTCCACCGCCGACACCTGTTGTACTTATACCGAGGCCGGTTGATGGTAAGTGAGCCGTCGCGTTCAAATGTGTTAAAGCTGGCGGTGGCGGCGGTTGAGCATCATAGTCTAGTCGCTTGATTGCTGGCATTACATGAGATGGAGTTATGCTGGCTGAAGGTTGCGTTGCTACTTGCTCCCGCCGATTCTCTTCTTCACGTTCCTTTTCGTCATCCGAGACAAGAGCATCTTCATCTTCGGTACGATTTTTCGGTTCCCAAGTCATTTTATTTTCTTTTTTTAGTCGTCTGCGCGCATTCGCAAACCACGTAGAGACCTGCGTCAGAGTCATTTTGGTGATTATTGCCAGCATGATCTTCTCGCCTTTGGTTGGATAGGGATTTTTCATGTGCTCGTTTAACCAAGCCTTTAGCGTGGCCGTAGATTCCCGCGTAGCATTCTTGCGTCGAGCTGCTAAATCATAATTGGCGCCATAACTGCAAGAGATGAAAGCCAAACAAAAAACAAGACAAACTGTTAACTCTTTTTTAAACTTATAAATTCAGCCGGACATAATGCACAGCAACACACACATACACAAATACTATTTAACCCCTCAAAGCTCACCACCACCACCTTCATCGTCATCATCTCGGTTTAACGTCGTTATCATCATCATCATCATCATCGTTATCATCATCACCATCACCATTCTCATCATCTTGCTACAACAAGGATTATCAAATAATACTTCTGATGCCTGAATGGACTGAGCAAAACCACAGGAGGTAATTTTGTTTCAAATCTTACATACCCCTCTTCCCCCCTATCCCCAATTATCTTAAAATACATAAACTGTCCATAGATTTTAAACACAGTGTAAACGATGTCGAAATATTCAGCATAGCAGTAAAAAGGAATACATTATAAACACTGGACCATGGTCTTGAGTCATAAGTTTATTAACTTGATATGGTAGAAATTGTTTGCTTTTTTTTGTTTTATTTTACTTTTAGTCGACGATTACTGCGTTTTTGCTTGTTATGTGGGTCGTTTTTTCGAGAAATAAATTCATAAGTTTTAATGATCACTTTGGCCACAGCAGGTGTTTGTCATTGTCATGTATTTACGTTTACTAGTAAGCATTTGATCACTGCTCTCGCTTTATTTATATACAATACAGTGTCGCTATTTTCGAAAAGTGTTATATATATTGACTGGCAAAAGCAACTGCGGGATATTTTATGGCAGTCGTGTAATAAATACTGGATTATCTATTTTTAAAGCATAAAATATTTTTGTTGCAGCAGTTTATATCAAAGTGTAATAAACGATCGAAATTTGTATTTGTTAATGAAATTTATAGAGAAATTTCTATTCTGTTCGTTTGAGAAACTTTCTTCTTTTGCAAGTATATACATTTGTGATGTACACGGCAAATATATATATATATATTGATTCTTTTAGTTTCCTTTTACCTCTCCTTGTTTTTCTTCTTTTTTTAATTTCATGATTTTGCATTTTGTTTTCCATTTTTTTTTTGACTTACAAAATTTACTCGTGATATAGGTAAAATTTATTTTTCACATTACAGCTACAGTGAATGATTACGAAAAATACACAACAACAACAGCTCTTGAAAATGTGACATAAAAACAAATATAATAAATCAAATGTAATAAAATCGTTGCAACATTTCGCATACAATCCCAACCACATTGTCACAACACACAAAATCAACATATGCGGATTTACACTCCCGTTGCCATAACTGAAATATTTTTATCTCTTTTTTTTTTTTACTTTATTTTATTAAAAGTGTAATAATATATTCTCTGCATGAAATTATCCGAAACAATTTATTATTGAACTCAGGATTGAATATAAAATTTTCAAATTTTCGGTCCATCGTTCGGTCTATCCATATATATATAGCAAAAGATGAGATCGGTACCGATTTTTATGGCATATACCGTAAGAAAAGACATAGGGTGGAGCTGGTATACGTTGATCATAAAGTTAAAAACTTGTGCCTCAAATTTCTGACCCAATGTGCAATTTCTATGTACGTGCACTAAAGCCTTTATGTGTCCATCGAAATGACTTCACAATCAAATTGTCATTCTGTGACACGTTTTGCTTTACGTTATGAAAAAAAAAATTTTTCTTTTCTTTCCTGTTGCATATATCCATGTACTGGCAGAGGGGCACATCAATGAAATGCCTATATTTTTAACAAAATATAAGCTAAAGGATGCTTATTACACTTTGCCTTGTGTGCTTGGATCCGAATGGCTAGTAACTTTACTAACATTAATTTCAATAAAGCCCTTAAAAAAAAGGTTTTAACAAAAAAATTAAATAAAATAAAAAATATTTTAAAATGAAAACAAGTAAAAGCATTTTATTGTGGCACGGCCGACCATTAAATACACTTCAATACACTTCAATACTTTACTTATGTACAGTTGAGCACAGGTATTCATATAACGACTTTATGTGGAAAAGGGTCGAAAAAATGATCGAAAAGGGAATATAAAACATTTTACACAGCGTTTGTCCTTGGGTAAAAACAAATCAGTGTATGAATATTTATCAAAATAACCTGAAAATCTCGACCTGTAATAATAGGTTCAATACAACAAAACAAGACAAGCAGATGGACAGAAACATAGCAGTTTAGTAATTTAGTCGCACTTTTCGTAAGGTTTAAACGGGCTTGTAGCAGAAATCGCAAATATGAAAAATGTTGTTTCATTTTGTCTGCAATGTTGCATGCAAAAATTTCTTTGGTCAAATATTCCTTAACCGGATTAAATTCGAAAATGAATCCAAAAAGTCTCTTCATAATATATAACAAATTACAACAAATTTCAAGACAATCAAAGTTTCCTCAATTCTTCATTAAACGTATAAAAGCTATGGTTTAAAGTTGTCTTAATCGGCGTAGAGACACTTTCATTAAATAATATCTTAAAAGAATTTTATAACCGACTTCATATTCACAACTGGCGCCAAGATGACTGTAATCCTTCACCAGCAAACCAATTGAATGATCGAAATTATTTTGCGCTTCGAATTTTGAGACGAATTTAATAAAAAATTTTTTCTCACACTATTTTTAAGTAGTATTTAAATGCAGACAAATGACCGAATGAGTTAATCAGGAATGTATATAGCTTACAGAATTTATGATATATATACTTTGGTACGTTGCAAACGAAATGTTAAAATAAGTATTCTTTCATTTTGCTGTGGTAGATTGGCAAAAGTGTTTTCTTTTGCTTTACTTTAATTCATTGTTAACCGAAAAATTTGTCATACTGTCTTTATATTAATATTAAACAGACACTTAGAGCTGCCACCACCAGCACATTACTGTCCATCCATTCGATGTAATGCAATTTTCGGTTTGCTTAAGGCCAAGAGAACGTGTGTGAACACAAATCCCATTCGCTGTAGATCTGCGAGTATTACTGTTTTAACTACAAGCAAATAAATATAATAAAAAATTGTACGGGTTAGAGCTGCAAGTAAATATATACACGTAAGTACAAGCAATTTTAAAGAACTTTTTTTTTAGTGATTGATATCGAAATGTCACGCAGACGCGTATGTTGCGTTAATGCAGCTATACTTCACACATTTATTTGTCCGCGCGAATATGTATGTATGTATGTAAATTGGTTATTGGGTAGAGGGTTGAGTAAGATTTTGCAGGTCTTTGTGTGTGAGAAAGTGTTCTCCGTTGCTGCGGGTGTTTAATCGTCATTCATATAATATGTTTCTTTTCGTATACGTTTAATCAAAAAATAAATAAATGAATAAATTTACCTTTTTATAGCTTTGACAGGCGCTTGACAAATGCTTTTATTTTTGTTTTATTTTATTTTTTCTTACAAATGAAAAAGACTACGCATTTGTGTATACATTATCTCTTGAATATGGAAATACATTCAAGAATTATATGCATTTCTACGATTTTTGACAATGACATCAAAAAACTTAATGTTTGTCAATAAACCTGGTAAACGATATCAAGTCAGTTTTTAAATTTAACGGTCTTGCTATAGCGAATCGTCGAATCGCTATTGGAGAAGTGTCTGAGGATGCCCGCTTATCGCTTGGGCATGAAATGTGTGGATGTGAAGACTGCGATTATACGCCAACTCATAAGTCACTGCTTGCTCGTAATCATGCCTCAGTCACCTTATTCCGTGGGATTGGCCTCATGCGACTTTTTCCTGCTCCTGAAACTGAAATGATCAGTGAAAGACCGGAATTTTGCTACGATTAAAAGAATCGCTTGAAGAGCTGAAAGCCAATCCAAAAACCCGTATATCAGAAGAGGAGATAAAAAGATATTGATGAAAAAAAATCTTTTTTGAGAAAAATAAAAAATCATTTTTTTTTAAGCACACATCGTATATCAAAGCTCATTGTTCAATATATGAATGTAGGCTACGTTGTCTAGCTTGACCATCCTAGAGTATCGAATTTGGGTGTTTTTCGGTTCCCGTTTCATGCTAACACATCAAATTTCAAAAAATTTTTGAACATAGCTCTGAAAAGGAAAATCTGAATTTCTTGAGCTCATTTGAAAGATATTCTTATGCATATTTATATGATGTAGGTCAAATTTTCTTGTTTGGCCGCGCTAAAGTGGCAAATTTGGTGCTTGCCACCGAAAAACAGAATTTGAATTTGTTCAGCTTGGTTGAGGTGTGCACAGCAACATTTTATTTGGACATTTTTGGCTTCCAATTTTAACCAAATCTTAATCCTAACTAACTAAAAGAGATCTGTCTATAGAATTCGGACTTCACACCCTTTCCTGATTCCTATTTCGGTAGGAAACTGGGACAAAAGAAGTCAGGTAATAAGTGCTGGTGTTAATTTTGCCCATTCTTTCACTTGAAAAAGGCATATATTGAGAAAAATTGGTAAAATATATAATAATAAATATATTTTCCAATGTTTTCTACCACTTGTCCACATTTGGTGTTGAAGACCTTTATTGAAAACCAATAACAGCAACATTTTTGCACTTCTTCAGCATCTCGAAACCGGGGGTGCTGCATCTGATGAGTACACCGCTTGTGAGAGAACTTCCCATTCGAACAACAACAGCGTATTGTTGACAATAATTGTAATAAGTGCCCAAAATGGCGTTTTCAGTCGGTTTCCATTGGAGCAATTTTAGCCGCTATTGCTTGTGTTTTTTATAACCATACATCCTTCAGTTTGTTCAATTGAATCGATTATCTTGTCATCGGCAGTTACAATAAACCGCGGACAGCAAATGAAAGTAATTAATGTCGAAAACGTAATTTTGTTCGTGCCAGGATTGGGGACCTGTATACACTAAATAATACAATAATATCAAGCATTAAGAAGGCCAGGGCTAACATATTGTCATGAAATTCGCTTTTTACAAGATACAGTCCGTATCACTAGATCGCGGATATTTTATTCAAGAGAAATACACTTCAAAGTT